GATGGAGAAGGAGTATGCTAGATGTGAACACACTTGACAGTTCTAAACAAAGGAAGGTGTATTGTGTCTGCCTCAGGTCATCAGGCATCTCCTCCCTGGAAGGCTGAGCTGTGCTGAGAGGGTCAAAGCATTTTGTACGTTCTCATGAAATAAGGGTTTTTCCAATTCAGAGGAAGGGCCTAATTAGTCTACCAGAGAATCTTATACTCTGTCTGAAAGGGACAATTGTGTAAATATAATGTGCTAACACCTGGAGACAGACCACAAAAAACATGGAAGAAAAATTTGGATCCTTGACCATGACAGGCTATTCTTGACAAGGATGTGCTGGGGAAGAACCAGTCAATGGAGTACACACGAGTTATATAGCAAACAGTAGCATATATTTTGCTGTAGTCTGTTGGAAGCAATCCAAAATGCAGGCATATTAATAGCACAGATAGTTCATATTTTTACTGATGACTGTAGAAATAGAAGATATTTTAACTGGCTTGAAAGTGTCAAGAAGGCTTTCAAAAGAAAGGAGCAGATGTCAAATAAAAGCTTTTAGTTTATTGAGCAATAAGTATGATAAGCATTATTTGTCTTGATGTTAGAGTTCAAAAACAATTGTCCCTTTTGTTTCCCTCATGGGAGTATGAAATTAGGACCATGTGTGTGTTGATTAAGAACATATGGAAGATGAATCGTGATTACTGTTTTGGTCTGGTGCACAAGGCTGTGCTTGAGGGGTAGTGATTTCCTACCTCCTTCACCACATCTGTGTAATTAGTCTTAGTATCTATCTCTGTTTCCTAGTATTGATGTTCAAATGGGTGCCTGACAGTGCCTACTCTCATGCACAAATTGCCTTTATTCAATGAAAGACTGTTTGCTCAACAAAAGTTGAATATTGGAATGTAGTTCAATATTATTTGTAAAAATGTTTATTCATAGGATAATTCTAAAATCACTCCATCTCTGGCAAGAATTGTCAAAAATAAAAAATAGATGTTACTTTCAAATATGAAACACTACATATAATGTGTTGAAAGGAAGAGGAAAAATTACAACAATAAAAATTAAGCATATTTTTCTTATTTCTTTGTATTGTGTTTAATTTATGCCTCTGATGGCAGACATTGGTTAAATTTAACTTTTCTTGGAGGCACAATTTGTTCCTGTGGTTAAAATTTCATTTAAGCTTTATTTCTGGAAATGTAATTCTAACTTTGTTTCTCTGGTAATAGGTAGAAAGGATTGTAAGTGCATGCCGTTATAAATTGTTCTGTAAATGAAGGGTAGGTGTTAGAAGAATATATAGAAAAAAACAAACAAACAAACAAACCAGGTTAACTTTATGTAATAGTCTGTGGCTGTTACTAATAATTGTAGTCTTTCACGTAAAAAGATTAATATTTAAATAAAATTCAACGACTATGCATGACTTTAACATACAAATGAGTCTTTCATTCTTCAGGAGATGATGTGTCTTACTGTTATTGAGAAATATGCTGATTTCAGATATCATGGAATCTTAACCTTAACTGTCCAAGTTTGTTCATGTTGGTTGAGGAACAAATCCAACACTGATCTTTGTGATTTGAGGTATGAGATATGTGATGGAAATTCTTTCGGGCTTGCTTGCCCAATATAGATGCAGGATTTGGACTTTAGTTTGTTTTCCGTTGAGTTCTGTGCTTTGAGCTCACATACTGTGAGATTGAAAGTTGTGGATAACAGGCTTCCACCTCCACTTTTTGACAAACAAGATTATTTGCAATTTAATCTGCATTCTGTGATTATCTGTTTAATGATCAGTTGTCTGTAGTTCTTTATAAAAGGTGTTTTGGCTCTTTCCTTTCTCATGTATTCCTTCTCAGTCAGTGTGTACAGAAGTATGTGGACCAAAGAGATTTTATGGACAAATCTCCAGGCAGTGGAGACCGGCTTTCTAGTAAAGTTCAGAATAAATTAAAAGCAGCATCTACATTCAACAGATGTTAGCAGTTAATTAACTGAGAATGTAGAGCCCTAAGGCCATAGCATTAGTTTTTATAGTTTTAAAGTAAGATACTCTAAAAAAGTTGTCTTAGCTGTAAGCCATTTAAATGGCACAATTACTTTATGGCTTGAGTACGAGGGAGTGCTTCCTGAAGAATACATTTTTTAACTCACAACAGTAAGTACTTGGAGGATTAACACTAACGTTTACCATGATCAAACTGTCTGACTAGTTTACACACTCATTTATAACTCATATGACCTTTATCTAATTCAACACTTTAAGGTGACCCTAATTCTCTCCCAAGTTGCTGCAGCTTTTTCACACGTTTCATATACTTGGGAGCAAATATTTACAACCATTAAGTGTCATGTGCTGCTTAAGGCCAGCTGAGTTTGGCTTATCTTCTATTTACTTTTTGCATGTATTTTATTAATGATTGTGGGATATTGATTTATACTTGTGTTACATATTTTGTGATGTCACCGTAATTCCAGGAGGAATGCAATTAAAGGTGCCGTAAAAATATTTTTTTAAAAAAATATAGGATATAAAAAATCCTTTCTAAAGTATTAAAATACTTGTGCTAATTTTTTAGCCTTGGGGAAATTTATCTCAAAACTTCAGCACCAGGACACAAAAGGAAGATGGGCAACAATTAATTTGATGGTTTATCTGCCTTTATTTATGAATATTAAAAGTCAATTTTTTTGTTTTATTATATAATTTATAATTTTTAGCAAACACTTAATGTCTTTATTATGTTCTAGTATTAAGTTAAGTGAGATTTTTATATAGCCTAAGAGAAACAAAGTTAGTCAGAACTGAACAGGTATTAATAGAAAAGTTAAAATTAAAAAAAAAAAATTGACGCCTTCCTGTTTCAGGAAGCATTTTTGTGTAACAGCTTGTTTAATACCAAACTAAATCTAAGTTAAACAAATGAAAGGCTGCCTAAGAGGAAAGTGAGTTTACAAATTTCACTTCTAACAGTGCTATCAAGATATGCTTTGCTTTCATTCTTTGTCATGCTTTACAAGTTGTTGTTTTTTTTTTTTTTTGTTTTAAAAAGAAACATAAATCATACATTAGTTTTCTTTCCTAACGCCTGTGGCTGACTATTGAGACACAATGAACATTTACTTGTCATTGTGATATCTAATTACTGTTGGAGTCCTTTTATAGTACTAAATTCTGTCCTTTACATTTTTAGCTGTAAAATTAGGTACAATTCTGTGTGAATAGGTAGTATTTTTTCTTAAAGGTAATTGTAAATATTATGTTATTTGCCTTTCAAGGAATGATATTTCTCCATAGAAATCAGTGTCAGAGTTATGAACTTTGTGGCTAGTGAGGGCGAGAGTAATGCCACATTTTGTGTTTCAAAAATAATTTCAGTGCTTTCTGAAGGGTAAGGTATTACTATCTCTGAAGTCCAAAGTTATTTTGTACAAATATGGAAGAAACATGAGACTCATCAGCTGGCCTGTGTGTCTGGATTCCTTCCTGGGAGAGCAATGGAAGTGTTCTCTGGTTGGTCTTCAGTTTCCGTGCCACTCAGCAAGGATGGCACTACCTGTTTTAGTATTATTTGACAATAGAAAAGGATGTCTGATGTAATATAATGCATTTCTACAATATGCATTTCTACTGGAAAAGTTATAGACTATAATTTTCTTAATTATTCCAGTTGGAAAACCACTGTTTCATTTGTTTTCCTTTAACTATTTGTTAATTTTAACCAATAATCAATGGGAAGATTGAAATTTAAATTCTCCATGTCTGTTTTTGTTGTAAGCTCTTCTCAGCAAGAATTTCTTTAAAATACTTATAATAAATGGCAAAATGACTGGAGGCTTCTCATAAATAAATACAACAGGAATGTAATCCAGTACATAAACCATATATGACTCAAAGCACATGGAAATATGATTTCCGCAAGAATTATAGCAGATACAGAAACATAAATTACATATGAATATATTGGTACGAAACGATTTGATGAAGAATAGATGTGGATGCCTATCTAGACACTGGACATTGATACTCTGTAGTAAGAATTTTTCCCACATTAAAACTCAGGCACACTGATGAACCAGGCCATATGTTTTGTGTCCTGGCTTATCACACCTCAGCTTATTGTTGAGCTTGGAGTTCAGCATAGCTCTTGCAAGCTCTGAATAATATTAGGCTTATGAATAAAGGATGACTTGATTATTGATGAATTCTGAGTGTGCTGAACATTTGATGGGTTAGTTTGCCTGACTGAGAATAGATAATAGAGTACTTCAGGCACCTGTCCTGAGGTAGTTAATGAGATGAGGAGTGTCTGTGAGGTGAAGGGTGCACTTTAATCAGGTCTTATACTGGTTTGCTCCTAACTGCAATTTCTTTCCTGAAAATGACCCTCACCAGGAAAACAGCTAAACTGCTGTGACCACAGTGCTTAGTGGTGACATTCCTTTTTCTGTCTGTTTGAACTTCTGATACCTCTTTTCACGACTGTGAAATTTGGATCAGCTTTTTCAGTCTGATGTTCTCACCTCTTCTCTTGCGTTGTTTGCCCTGGAGAAGCCAATTTGATTTGTCATTAAACTCTGATTAAACTCTGTGGGGTTTATGCACGTGTGATGTACCTAGATAGTGGAAGTTGAAAACATCATCTAAGTTTCTTTCAAAAACAAGCTTCTTTAATTCACATTTAGTGGGCAAGTCACAATTTCTTGTGACAATTACTTTACTCACAATCTCATGTCTTCACGCAAATACTGTATTCAGACTTTCATTTCTCTTCATTTTCACTTCCTTGAGTATTATTAGATGACAGGTGAGTAAATGCAGACATATACAATCTGGTCTGTCATTGCTTATGTTCAGATTGATGGATGGTGTGTCCAAAGAGAACAGAAAAAAATCTGGTTTTACAGTTCTATCATCCTGCAAACAAGCTATTTACAAAAAACTCTACATAAGAAGCTTGCTTTATTCTAATTACTTTTTTGGTATTTCTCTACAGGGGCTGTCATCAGTCATCAAAAATAATGGACTACTCAATATCACCTTTAAATATGACAGTAAGTTGAACGGTTACACTATATTCACAGAAATCAAGGCATTCATCACAGCTATCAATATATAGCACCATGTCTCTTAAAAATGGCTTTAAGAATAGCATGAGCTCTTCAGTATTGATTTAATTCTAGACTACAAATCTAGATCTGTCTCTTCTGGGTCTCGTGGATCTTCTTGGTGCATTTCAGTGATAAAATGATCCAACAATGTGTAGTAGTTTCAGTTTGGCCTACACCATCTGCCCATTATTTGGCTGGGAAAATAGAGAATTACTTTATTTTCTTAAATAATGTAGTTATTGAGAGGTTCACTATACACAAAGTCGTAGGAAAGGATTATTTCAGGCTTTATATACCTTTGTGTAATTTGGCAGGAAAGTGGTGTAAAGTGTCTCTCAAGGCAGAAAACACGTAGTGTGTATACATGGGTTGATATTAAAAATATGCCTTTGCAAAGATTTACATTGAATATGAATATTTGATATGAAGAGCATCTCTTCATCTAGTTAAAGTACTTGGAACTTTTTGTTGGCTACATTGTAAAAGGACCAGGTTAGTGGAAAGCTGCTTTCTAAATTTCTGGTGAAGACATGGTGTTAGTACTGTACCTGATGTCTGTTTTGGAGCTAAACTAAGAAAAAGGTAGTCTGTAGCATAATTACAGTAATAAGCAGTTTGCAGCAATAAAACTCCACAAACATCTGCTATAAGGCAGTATCTTATTGTTTTCATTTTTTAAGGGTTTTTGTCATCTGTGTTGTCTAGCCATTAAAGTATGACTGTTGGCTTAATGGGGAATTTATCTTTCTTTGTGCAGTTAGTGGTTGTCATCACTATAAACTCAATGTACAGTCAAGAGAAAGTCACGATTTAAAGCAATAAGGTCAACTAATGCCAGTGCAAGTCACAGGCTGGTTTTTTTGCCTACATGGAGAAATTACCTCAGATGCTGAATGTAGGTAAAATTTCAGCACTGAATGCATGTATCAGGAAACCTACCAACAGTGCTTTTGTTTCGTTATGATCATCCTTTTATTCCTCTGTTTTTATGCTAATTTCTGAATGTACAGTCCTTCACTGTGAATGTTTTTAATCTAATTTGATATTAATATTTTAAATGAGTAAAATTTCAGGATGTCTGATTGTACAGGAGGTAAGTGATCACTACAAAATAGTTGTGATTTTTTTTTTTTTTAATCTACACAAAGAAAACCAGGAAATACAATCAATCAGAACAGAGATACCCACATTCTGTAACACAATGGCGTCTGTTTAAGTCCCAGTATCTCTCATGTTTTTTCCATTAATTCTGGCACCAGGAATTGTGTTTAACCAATGACAAGTGTTAGTTCAAAATTCTGCTGGCACTGCGTGCTTCCTGAACAAAGGAGTTATTGGAATTCTGCAGTACTAGGAAAAGAGTTCCCTGACACCAAGGCTAAAGAGTTTGTATAATATGGAAATACACAGTTATTGTGAATAAGTCAGCACAAAAGAGAATTTGGCTAGCTGGCTAGGTTTTAAAGGCTTTTATTTTGCCACACAACTCTGGCAAACTGTGTTAAATTAGTTTGTTAGATTATTTATTCAGGTGAAAAGAAAACGTTTGTATGTGTTAGTATTTCACTTGTACTCAAGTAAAAGTGGTTTCCTGAAAGTTTTCCCCTGCTGTTTTCTTCCTAAATCTTTTGCTTTTAAAAAATGTAAATCAGTGACTCACAGTCAAACTTCAAACATTCGTGCTGTATTCCATTTTGGCAAATTGTGATTTGGAACCAGGATTCAAAGTCTTGCGCTTGATATTAATTAGATCCAGACGTATCAAAACACTTGTTAATTCAAACTTTCCATTGAAAGAGATACTCTGTTCTCTTAAGAGGAAGTCCATACTCTTATGGAGTTTACTCATAGCAACAGAATTCTACAAACAGCTGAAGTAGGAAGTACCAACTTCCCAGCTTTTGTAACAGGCAATGTTGTACAAACCGTTCTATTAGTTGTGCAGCAGTTACATAGAAGACCCTTTACCGTTGTTATTCATCATAAAAAGCCATTTTCTAAAACTGGTTTTTATTTAATAATTTTACTTTCCTTACCTTTAATATCACACCTCTGAATTAATTTCTAATTTTGTGCACTGGCTTATCATAACACTTGATTTTTGCATGTTTCATTTCTACAAACTCTGTATAGACAGATACATAACATATATATTATCTGGTTGGTTAGTTCGTTTAAAATTAATCACTAGTCAATAATATATAGTCTACTGGACAACTTTTTCTGGATTTTGTTTTCTTCATTAATTCAAAAGCAGAATGTTTGTGCATATACCTCTTCATGTATACTGTACTCCAGACCTATTGAATTCTCTGGCTACTGCTTCTCATCCTACCACAAAGTATGAACCTACACATTGTAAGGCTTTGAAAGTAATAAAATTGAGGGTTATTTGTTTTCCTGTTTTGAATTCATAAAAACATGGTCAAGTTCAACAACAAAGTCAGGAGTGGTTTTCCTGTATTTTATTTTCCTAATAAAACCTGTGGGGTTTTTTTGTTTTTCTTTTTTTTTTTTTTTTTAATAACCACATGTTTGTGGAGCCAGAACTTTTGGGAATACACTGTATTTTGCAAGGATATCAAGACAAAACCAGTTCTGACTGGATCCAGTGGTAGGAAAATAGTCTGCAGGAATTTGTCTACTGAATGGATGACAGACATGAGATGGATTTAGGCAGTGGTCAGGATCAAGCAGTATCGGGGTTAAAAAGTACTTCTTGAGCAGCCATTCTAAAGCTTTACATTGTTCATTGTTCTTATAGGTGCTTGGTCATTGACCAGTATTCTCTTGCTCTAAGCACTGAACATGCACCAAATGAATGTCAGTCCTCATATTCTTTCTAGTAACCAGAGAGGAAAAGCTGTTCTTGTGTGTGAGTTCCAGCACATGTCCTTTTTACTCCTGCTGAGGTACAGGCTACACTAGTATTATAAACTGGTAATTTCTACTGGAGTCCTGTGAACTAGGGAGTTGAAACTGGTGAAAGTGGTTGTGCTCAATGATTGGTGAAGTTTTTTGTTTTTCAGCATCCTTAGACAAATTAGATTTACTATACAGTGCTTGTTAACTATTTAGTCAGTAAAAATATTTGCTTTTACTTTGCTCAATCTTGGAGAAATGTTAAGAAATTAACTCAATTTGTTATTAACATGGAAAGATGCAGGTCATGGAAACTCGTTGCTTGAGACCTTTAAGTTTAGGTGCTTTTGGCAGCTTGTGATTTACTTGCTGTGGTTTGGCACAAGAGTGGTGTCATCTAGAATGCTTCTCTTAAAGTGTTCATTTCTCCATATTTTCAGACTGCACTCCTTACCTGAATTCGTTGGGAAAACACGTGATTGGAGATGTGCAGAATATCACTGTCAGTCAGTATGCGTGTTATGAACAGGTCGCAGTGACGATACTATGGACAGCAAATCCTATTGGTAAGTAGTAGAGGGAAAGGAACTAATTCATCATGTCTTTGGTAATGACTTCTTGCTGACCAGTATTAAGTGAAATAACTAAATTATGCTTGAAATTATTGAAGCAAACTGCTTTAAGAAGAAAGAAATTCTTAACAGCTTTGCAAGGCTGCTATTCCTACTAGCTCACCTGAAATACCCTTAAAACTAGGGTGCTCCCTGAAGCCCTATGCTGCTTTTTACTGTTCCAATTTGTTGCATTTTTCCTGCTCTTCAGAAGTGTGTAGTAGACCTGATTTCATTCTCTGCCCCAAGACTTTGGTGAATTTCAGTGACATTGATAGAGTTTAATTGCCAATACACTTAAAGGTTCTGTAGGATGCAGATCGTCTTACAGAAGGAAAACATTATTTAGTCATAGCTATGTAAACTTTAGTGTGTTTCCTTGTCTGGTCATTAAGAATATTCTTCAGTCACTTAAATGTCAATGGAAGTACCTTATTGCCCACTAGAGCTGTAGCCTCCAAAGTTGGGAGTGCACAAGATGATCCACTGAGACAAGTGAAGAAAATGTTAGAATTTTTATTTACATATTTTTTAGATCTTGAAAGGAAAAACTAAGCTTTGCTAATATCCACTGTTTGGATATGACACTGGCACTATTACTATGTCAGGTGTTCATGTTTTATATGTGGGTCATGAGGTATGCTGAAGAAAGAGGGAGTGTTTTACAGTGTGGAGGGGTTCACAGTGATGGGTTCACTCTTTCATTTGCTTTCAGTGTATTGTGGTGTGTTGTGCCAGGTTAAGTGGATTTACTGATTATATTATCTACTTTAACCATCGTGAAATGGACAAGTGGCTTACAATAATTGAAGGTAATGCCAATAATACGAGCACATAACAACAAGAAAATAGTAGAGCTGACAGTTCCCCTACGCCTAGTACAGGCCTTTTGCCAGACACATTAAAAGGTAAAAACGATGACTATCTAATCAGTTCTGATAAAAAGTTGCCAAAATCATCAAGAATATTTGAAATACAGACTTGCAACTGTCTTTGTTAATGATGAACTTTGCCCTAAGTGTACAGTGTACCTTGAGATATTAACTAATAATGTGAAGTCATCACAATTAGCAAGATACTTGAAAACTAAGCTTCTAAATAGGAAGACAAACATCTAGAATTTTTTCAGTGATGTTTGAAGCCATGTGATGCTTAATGAAGTACATTTCACTAAACTTAGAGAGGCTTCTAAAGATTTATCATTTTGTGAAATAATTTATGAGATTTCTTACTCAATAGTGAAAGACAAAAAGCCACATGCCATGGGGGAAATCTCTTGATCTCCTTGCCACAGTAAAACTGCCTGAAATTCAGGGAAATACTGGAGTGATAAAAAGGATTCTGGAGTAAGGGTCCAGAGATAGCACCATATGTGAAATGCTGTCATTGTATCATTCATAGGGAGATTATTGCAGCAATGGACTTGAAGCCACAAGTGCACAGCATGTTATCAGTGTGGTTAGTTTTATAAAATCAAGACATTTAAATAGTAGAAGTTTTACAATACTTTGTAATGAGGTGGGGAGTGAGCATGAAAATCTTTTGTGCCACACAGGTTCAGTAGTTATCTTGTGGCAAAGTGCTTAAGGGTTGTCAAACTCAAGTTCTTTGAGCTAAATGTCAAACAACAAGTGTTCCAAATTTGCTAACCTTTCCAACAAACCAACCAACCAAGAACAACAACAAATATCTAAAAACACACTTAATGTGTCTCTTCAAGGTGTAGGTGACATTGTAATAAATAGTGAGAAACTGTTTTTTGAAAGAAACTCTTGGAAAGAGCTTTTTGAAAACAGATGCTTGGAAATTTTTCGTTTGTTACCTGATTTTGTGCTGAAAACAGTACCAATTCCTCACCTATAAAAACTTTCACTTTTACAGTTAGTCAGGAAACAGACTTTTCTAGCCTGTTTAAAAGTCTTCTGAATGCAGAATTTCAGTGGGTTTTGAACTCATTTTTTAAAAATATAAAAATGCAACATATTCTGATTGGTTTGCAAGAAAACTGACATCAGGGAAGACAGGAATTTGATAGCCAAACATCAAGTAAACCCTTTACACAGTTAGAGGATGGAAGTGAAAAGGAGTATTGTGATTTATTAAATGCAGCCAGTGGTGCAATTCCTCCACTTGGATCCATGTATCTTTGTGTGGTTATTTTTTCAGGTGTGACAACAATTGTAACAAAAAACCCTGGACTTAGAACCAGACTTTTTAACTGCCGTATCACAAAGTGTTAATCCAAGATTTAAAAAACTAATGCAGCATATTCAATCACATAGCTCTCACTCAAAAATACTATTACTAACATTTTAAAGTGGGAACAAATTTTTTGCGGTCTAATTAATAAAATAAAAAAATGCAATAAAGGTCTAGAACTGTATTTAAAATAATAGTTTGTGGGGTTTTGTGTGTTTTCTAATGTATATAATATATTAGCACAGTAGTACATGTGTATATTTGATAAATATACTGTGAGGTTGTGCTCAAATTCTTTTGTTAAGAGGAGTGCATAATCCACAAAATCTGGAGACCACTGCACTATAGTGCACTCTCTCATCATTTGTTCTTCTTCACACTAAGATCCTAAATAAAGTAATGTAATATAAACTCATTTTTTAGTAACCACTGTTTAGCAAATGAAAGAGGTGGTTTCCTTCTTGAATATTTTTAATACCTCACTAAAGAATTTTAACAGCAAAGGTGCTTTTCCATATCATTGAAATAATTAGAGTTAAGCGCAATGCAATTTTCAAAATTAAAATATAAATTTGTTTTTTCATGTTCTTTTTCTCATACACCAGAGTATCAACTTGATATTTCATAGTTCATACTCAAAAGCATTTAAATCCAATTTTTCTTATGATTTCAAGAGCTGAAACTTCCAATTTATGTGGTAGGATTGATTCCTAAGTTATGAGAGATGGCTAAAAATGCAAATGTGTATTTATTAAATTTGAGAATTTTTTTAGGCTAAACCTGCATTTATTAAATAAAACATTTTAGATGAGAAAAAATGTCATTTTTTGATGGCCTTTTACTATGAAATCATGCTTTCATAATTTTTTTAATAAAAAATTATTAATTTCTAGCATTTAAAGGACTGTTGTGGTTTGAGGCTTGGAATGGGGGCGTGGTTTGAGGCTTGGAATGGGGGCGTGACCTTCCAGCAACTGGGAGGACCCCGGGTGGGGGTGAACCATTGTATTCCCTCCCCTTCCAACACACACTCTGATAAGAGGCAGGAAGTGGGTGTTAATTTCACTCCGGCCTTGGAGCTTGGAGAGGGAAGTTGTCCTTTCACTCTGTGGGACCCTGGAACCATTTCTGAGGGTTTTGTATATTTTATTTTTTGTATTTTTCCCCTAATCTTTGTATATATTATTTTCCTTACCTCCTTTTTTCGTTTTATGTTCCTTGTTAATTAATATATTTCATTTTTTTTTTTTTTCCCAAAATGTCTCTCTCTCTCGGGGGGGGGAGAGGTGAGTACATAGTTCTGTTCCGTGTGGGTCCTGCCCTGAACCCCTTTTTATACGGAACCAGGACAAGGACTATATGAAAATTACACTTAATTCTGCAGTACTGTGAAATTGAAAGCATTTGGTAATCTTCAGCTGCAGACTGGATGAAGCAAATCTCTAAAGGAAACAAAGCTTGGTGTTTTTTCTTGTAATGATCAGAGGTTAATCCTTTGGAAAGCATGAGGACAGACTGCCGTTGAAACATCTTGACTATCGTGGGGACTGGACACTTTCTCTTTCATGGTCTTCATGTAAGCACAAATAGTGCTTTTGTTCCGTGGAATATTGAGAACACGTTGGGCAGTTCATGGTATTTTCTACAAAATTCTAAAACATTAAGAAAACCCCTCAAACCCATGAAAACTAGTGAAACAGTGGAGGTCCATGGGAGATCATACTTCTGGGATTTTTTTTCAATTTGACAAGTGTAGCATAAACTCAAATTAATCCATTTTGATTTATGTAACATTTAGCTTATTTCACTGTGGCAGTGTCTTTGATAAGTATGTATTCTGCCATATGTAATGCTGTTTAGCAGATGTAATTATATGGAGTAGTGGTAGTTAGTCTTGAACAACTGTGCAGTGACTTTGATACCTGAGCCACAAAACTATTACAGGATAACGCTCTGGCATTGTCCTATGACACTCACATCTTTGTGACTCAGTTCAGGCATGTAACAAAGGAATTCCATGATGAGAACATTGCAAAGAAATGTAACAACACATTGCTGAGAGCTTGTTATGTTAGAGTAACTTTAAAAAAATGGGTGTATCAGTTCTGGCATCAGTTATACGTAACTGGAAGTATTCATGCACTGGAATAAATTCCATTCCATTTAAGTCGTGTTTTCTCTTAGCCAATACTATACTAGAACTAAAGAAGTTGTAAAAACTGCTGTCACTTTAATCTGATGGTCTCAGAAATGGTAGGAAGATGTTACAATGGAGTATTCCTACAATTTGCTAGCAAAATGATGGTTTATTGCTAATAATGGAAAGGTGAAGTCACTGTAAAGTATTCCTGAGAGTGATGAAGGTGATGATAACTTATACTGCAGTGATAATTTGGAAGCCTGAGCTGAGACATGGGCTTTAAGCCCCTCTGCTTTAAGCATGACACAAGCATGTAGTAATGGCAGCCTTTGCAAGACACTGAATTCTAAATAGGCAAGATAGAAAATGCGGGAAGAACTGACGTGTAATAACAGGTATGAAATATACCACAAATATATTTCATCTGAATGGTAAGTTTTATTTTTAAAGACAAATTTAAATATATTCAAATCACATAAGGTACCACGTTATGCATTTGGAATATTAGTCTTCTATTGAAATGCTCTGCTGTTTGCAGGAGTTGAATACTTGAAAGGGTTTCGAGTAATACTCGAGGAGTTAAAGTCAGAGGGAAGGCAATGCCAGCAGATGGTTTTAAAAGATCCGAAGCAGCTCAGCCCCAGTTTTAAACAAACTGTAAGTGCTTTGTTTCAAGGAAAGTTTTACTCTTACTTGATTGTGTGAGTAGTCTTTAAAGTGTTTATATGCTGCATATAAATCTAAATATTTACACAATATGCTGTCTATTAGAATGCAAGTCACTTCATAAAAGTGTTATTCTTTAAACTAACGTTTTTGCTCTAGAGGCAGATCCAGTCCCCTTCTATAGAAGCTTTCCTGAGGCTGGAAACTCCCATTTGGGTGACTCTGAAGTACAGGTGCACACCTGTAATTATCCACAGCCAACTCTGCATTGAGACTCCTCATGTCAATGTGTAATGGAGGGGTACATTAGGATTCTTAACGTATGAATTTCTGCTTATGTTTGCAAAACTGTGGGCTTCTTTTGAAAGATACTTTTAGTTATAAAAGTTGACTTTAAAATATGTTGCAATCTTGCCTTTTTATAGGGAATGGAGTCCCAGCCCTTTGTAAACCTGAAGTTTGAAACAGATTACTTTGTGAAGCTTGTTCCTTTTCCTTCCATTAAAAATGAAAGCAATTACCACCCGTTTTTCTTCCGAACTAGACGTAAGTATTACATACAATACAGTATATTGCACATCGTGTCTTCATCAGTGGGTGCCCCTCCAACTTTTTAGTTTTCCCAACAAAGGAACGTAGTAGATGATGATGAGTTTGGGTTAAGATAGTTTCTGACAAAGTCTTCGAAGGAAGATCTGGGTGTTAAGCGGAAAGAATTTGGATGCCACAGATAAATCTGTGATGTATGATAATACATGTTAGGTGACAACCAGAAGAAAAGTCTCAGGTAGGCCTGAGGTGATCTCAGGTTTGCCTACAGCAGGACTACTCCCATATTCTCAGGAACTCTTGACTTAAGAAGATGGTTTGCTCCTTCTCCTCTCTGGCTGTTGTGAAGAAGCTCGGCTTGCTTTTGTTTTTGAGATCAGCTGCAAAACCAAATACGTAGAGACAGATGTAGATGAGTACAAATAAAATTTGATAGCAACAAACCAGAGTTAATTAGTCAAAATTACTTACCGATTCTCGTTGGAGAGAAGAAACTTGAGTAAGCTCCTCAGTGTGTAAGTAGGATGATGAGAAACTGCAAGTACCTTTTGGGGTGAAATGTTGGTATTTGTCCTATTTATTTTTTTTTCCCTATAAAACTTCTGTACAGTATTTTCAAATCTGTCTGTAGGTGCAGACTGCAGGAACATTTGTCTTTGATGCTCAATGTATTATTTATTCTGAGTAAATGTATTTGGGGGTAGTTTCAGCTTCCTCTTCTGCTGTGCTGTGCCTGGTGCTATCACTTTTGTTTCACTAAGGAATGATATTTTCAAAATCAAAAGTTTCAAATGATAACAAAAAGCTGAGTTTGCTTTTATATATACATTCCATATATATGTATATATATATATATTCCAGGCATATTAGGAATTGTGAAAGAAATGGGGGTATTCTCTTCAAAATTATAAACTCCTCCTTTTGCCCTCATTCTTTTTCTATTTTAATAGCATTTTGGTACTGTATCGTTAATAATTTTTTGTGTGTGTATTTGTAGCATGTGAATTGTTGCTACAGCCAGAAAACCTTGTCTGCAAACCTTGTAAGTAAAATGTAATACTTTCTATATATTCAACTTATGAAGTTACTGGACTTGAAGTGTCACTTTTTTCCAACTAATGAGTATATCCTCTGACAGACTGGAAGCCAAGGAATCTGAATGTTACCCAGCAGGGTTTTAACATGCAAGTGTCCTTTGATCATGCACCTCACAACTTTGGGTTTAGATACTACTTTCTTCACTACAAACTTAAGCATGAAGGGCTGTTTAAGCAAAAGACCTGCAAACAGGTACGTCACCGAGTTTTGCAACTCTTAAGAGCAAAAAACTTAACATCATATATTCTGAGGCTTTACAGAAACTCTGAAAACATGCTATCCATTTAAAAGTTTTTAAACAATTTAATACCATTTATGTAAATAATAGTTGTATTTTGATAGTGCTCATCAGTCAAAACCAGGCTGGAGGGCGGCATTGGAGCTGGGTAGCATAAGCAAATAGGAAGAGACTGTTCTTGCTCTTCATGATGCTGCAACTCATTGATACTTCAAACTGCAGTTATATTATGCTTGTTAGACATATTTACTTTTTTATTTCACCTTTGTACTAAATTTGGCCACTTTAGAGATGACCCATCTGCGATGGTTTCACAAGAAAGCTCTCATCTTAGTAGATGCATGCAGGTAGGCACTTTGTGGTTTTTGTGCAGCTCTGTGCCCATCTTATTAAGATAGCTACAATTTGCTGTATTATTTTCCGTAGCTTTGGTTAGTATTCAACGGCAAGTTTGTTCTCAGTGGTTAACCTTTCATCCTAAGTTTCTGAAAGCTAGGGAGCTTCAGGGCATAATGTAGTGTTTATGTATTAGACCAAGCATTGAAGATTTTTTTTTTTTTTTTAAATATATTGAATTCTTCAGGCAGAGGACTGTAGTCCACGTATATTTGAATGGTGAGACTTCGTTTTGCTGGTTTTAATGCAGGAGGATGTTGTATACTTCTAAGTTAGTTCAAATATATTTTTAATTAGGTTTTAGAAATATGTGAATGACTTGCAAATTACTTACTTTCTTTCATGTAGGAGCAAAACACAGATACTACAAGTTGTATTCTTCAGAATGTATCTCCAGGGGATTATATAATTGAGGTAACATTTATAAATTGTCATTTGTACAACAGCTAAATAAATATGTTAATGGAGAAATTCACTGAAGTTAAAGTATTTGAAGACACACTCTGGTAAAAACAGACTTCAGACATCCCTACTGAAATACCTTGGGCAAGAAAAAGTTTTTAGACATATTGTTCTTGATTTCTCCATAGCTTTGCTTCCCTGAGTACATAGTTTCATCTGTGCCTTTAAGTAAAGTTGTGGGCATGTATATTTTTTTGTCTTGGATTTTTACTTTTTTAAAAATTTTTTTTAAAATTGGGTTTCTGTAGTTGAGTCAGTTTTTACTATGCTTAAAAGCTGCGTATTTATCTTGATGATGGCAGTATGTGAACTCTGAAAGTTAATATTGCAACATTAAACTGTGTACCAACAAAGACAAATTATTTCACTCATTACTAGTTTGTGGTGCTTTTTAATTTTAACTTTTTGAACAGTAAATGTCTTCATATTTTGACATGAAAACTGTTATAGTTGTTCACATATTGCAGAAAATAAATAATATTTCCACGAAATAAAATTCAACTTTTACTTTTCAAAGCTGGTTGATGACACTAATACAACAAGGAAAACAATGCACTATGCACTAAAACCAGGTATGAATTTTGTTTTTCAGTAATATAGAGTATTTTCCTTATTAATTTGGATTTGGTTTTAATTATTTTGGAAATCTTGATTTGACCTGTGTCTGTTTGCTTTAGTCAAGACTACTGAAGCAATTGTGCTGTGATTTTATTTTTTTTTCACAATGAGAAAAGAGTAGAGGTGCACACTTGTATATACACACCTGCATCTCTGTACACTTATGTATAGTAAAGTTTAGAATCACTAAGGTTGGAAGAGAACTCTTAAGATCAAGTCCAGCTGTCAACCCAACATGAACGTGACCACTAAGCCATGTTCCAAAGTGAGTTTAGATCACTATATAATTTGAAATCTTTGTGGGAAAGTCTCTTTTGTTGTGTAAATGGATATAAGGAATCATAGCCTGTATCTTAATTGCATGAAACTGATGCATACAGTAGTGTGGAAATAATGTAATGAGACTGTGAGAGCAGCCTAAACACATTACCTGCCTCTGTACTTCAGCCCTGAAATGAAATCAAGCAGTCTGGAAAACCTGTCAGGTGAAATGTCTGTGTGTCAGACCAGTTATTGAGAAGCTAAACAGGGATTTCAGACTGCAACTGCAGACACAAAGCAGAGCTGCAGATGGAGGCAGTGGGCAAGATTGACTAAATCCTAATGCACACTGCCAAAAGTAACCTCTGCAGGAAGAGAGTTCTTTCTGAGCGGCAGGTTCTGCACCCTGGAACAGAAGTCTGCTGGGTCTGAACGACAGTTGCGTATCTTACCAAAACTTCAGGTGAAGTTCTTCTGGCAGGGGGAGGTGTGGGCTGGTGTGCAGCGCTTGCCACTGCGTTAGCCACTCTCATGGTGTGATGGTGGGGGCAGTCAGCATAAAAGCTCTTTATAATGGAGCAGAACGTGATGTTTCATTCTACTGTATAGCTGAGAATTACCTTATAATGGTGTACTGAAGTAGCTTTACATTCTCAGTGTGAAAATTTGATTAGATAATTATATATCTTATTTGCATATGGCTAATTCTACTTTACTTTTAAAAGTGCACTCCCCGTGGGCTGGCCCAATAAGAGCGATTGCCATTACAGTCCCTTTAGTTGTCATTTCAGCATTTGCAACGCTTTTCACAGTGATGTGCCGTAAGAAACAGCAAGGTAAGAGGGTTTACTCCATACAGAGCTCCATTTAAAGATGCACTTTTGCAACCAAAAAAGTCTTAACTGGTATGTTTATTCCAGGAACACCCATAACTGAAGAGCTTTCTTTTCTTACCTCTGTGTCCTTCTTCCCCGCAATTTTTTGTGTTGAAACTTGTAGCAAATGGTTAATCAGTGCTTGATGGTAACTTGTTACCATAGGAAATATTGTATTACACATCAAGACTTCACTGTAGAAAGAAGAGAACAAAATTGCTGGTGGGAAATATTATTGAGTTTGGTTTTCTTTTTATTTGTGAAAGTCCTACATGATCATGTACAATACAAACAGATCTGTAAACTGGTTTATTTAAACTTTCCCTTATTTCATTCAGAAATGTTTAATACATATTTTCTTTGAACCAGAGGAAAAGTAAATCCATGTGATACCAATACAGTTCTCAGCATTGTCTGGAATACTACCCATATGTATTATTCCAGATTTGCTCACTTTACTGGAAGTTGCCTTTACACTTCATCTGAAGCCATCTTCCTAAATTTACTCTTTGTAAGACTTGCAGATGTTTCTCTAAATTTATCTAAAGATTCCATCCCTCTTTGCTGACTCCTCTCTCCTCTGTGTTCAGGGGCTGGCAAGCCACACTTGTTACACTCAGATGTTAAAAATGAAGTGGCATTTTTTGTAGAATCTAGGGAATCATGCAGTTTTGCAAATATGGAAAAAGAGATTACTTCCCCAAACCCCAGAAATCTGTGTTACCCATCTGAATTTTGGCATTGAGGTGTACTGCAAGTGCTACATGCCATCTGGGTTAAATCCTTTTACTTTCTGCTTTTCCGTAGATCTCCCGTTCCTCACAGGTAGCATGGTTCTAACAAAAATGCCAGACAAGTCACTGAGGATTGGCTTACAGAGGGAGTTGTTCCAGAATAATTATTTCTGATTAATTGTTTTAAATTAAATCCCTAGATGGATATTTGTATTTTGTAATATTCATGCTTTATTACAAATTAGCTTAATCAGCTGTAGAACTAGGTTGAATTAGTAAGACCCCACTTTTATGTTCCAGCATAAAGGCATCTGTACAATCACAAAGAAAAACTAATAGTGATTTTGATTTAAATTAATCGTATATTAATTCAAATTAATATCAAATTAATGTCCAAATGTGTGTGTGTGTGTGTGTATACATATGCTAGTGATACTGTTAGATATTCTGAAGGGATCTGTGTTCCTGGAGTTTTATTTTCTCACTTAGCTTGTGTTGGTTTTTTTTTTTAACAAGAGACTCTGTTATATAGGAAACTCTTGGTCATGATACATCTTTAAGACTTAAAATATTTGAACAAAGAAATGAAGACTGTTAAGCTGGAAAGAAGTGCAACAGTCTCATTCTATTTATAAAATAAACCTTTCTTACGTTTTCTGAGTTGTGCAGTAATAGCTGCACATTTCACTTTCAAAGTGTATTCCACATATGCAGGAATGTGTAAACTGGATAGAGTGTAGGCAACATTTTCAGGCTGGAAAGAAAGAAAATATCTTCTGGAAAAAAAAAAATCATTACTGTATGCATTAGTAATGAGCCTACAAAAGTTTTTAAAATAAAATGAAACCAAGCTTTATAGTTTGAACTCTTTCTTTCTTCCCATTTAGAAAATATATACTCCCATCTAGATGAGGAGAGCTCAGAATCTTCAGCATATGCTGCAGTTCTCCATGGTGAAAGGCTTCGTCCCCGGCCAAAAGTGTTCATCTGCTATTCCAGTAAAGATTGCCAGAAGCACATTAATGTCATCCAGTGCTTTGCTTATTTTCTTCAGGACTTCTGTGGCTGTGAGGTAAACTCAACTTTTCTTCTGTAAAGAGTTTCCTTAACTGAAACAACACCTGCAAAACTCATAATAATGTGCTTGAAAATCTCTTTTCAATTTCTTCTTTCCAGAGAGATAACTATTGTTATTTTTCTTAACACTGGCTATATAAATTTTCTTTACTTAGGGAAGGGAACAGATCATAGCCCACATAAAAAAAAATATCCAAACCCACAACAAAAGAACAACAAAAACCCCACCCCAGAATACTGGAAAATATGTATCCCATTGATTCCAGGACTTTCATTCAGCCATGTTTAGCTTCTTTCATATTAACTGCTTTTTCTGTTTAGTAGGTCTTGCATCTTTATAGTCAGCAGCCACAGAGAGATACTGGTGTCTACCTGATACACTTCAGTCTTCCTTAAAATAGTTTTTATATTGTAATTTTCAAGTAATTGAATCTATCAAAACTCATGTTCATAGAGCAGAGTCTGTGTAACTAGGATTAATTGTGGACACTATGTATTAATTTTTATTGATTTTTTTTTTCTTTGTATTTTTTACATCCTTTCTCTTCCATTAATACTGTAAGATCAGCCTGTCTTGTTTGGTTTTGATTTAAAGTGATGAGAAAAACATTCACATTATTTTTAACGACTAGGCTTCTAATCTCAGACTGCTTTCTCAAATATAGTCAATATGTGGCCAGTCCTTCACTCTTCAACTGTATAAAGGCAAGACAATTGTTAGTCTTTTTTGCTGCATTATGAACAGCAATTTTAAAAGTATGAGCTGGGACTTTTTCAGCTCAACAGCAGGTCTGACCTCTGGTGGCCACACACAGTAGTAACGCAGCTGAGGCTTCTCCATGTCACTCAGAATGTTCACAATTTATTCATAGGTTGAAGATAGTTTTGGTAAGGTGCTATATAAGTAAAATTACTTGAATCCCCTTTTTAGAGGTGCAGGTTGGCCCTGCTACAGCTGATCAGCTCTCTGGAATTGTGTTAAGGTGAGCTGGTACTGTAGTATCTATGTACCATTGAACATACAGTATCAGGCATCATTTAAGATTTATATAATAAGAAATTGATAGCATCTACATACAGAATGTGCTATTATTAAAGCTGTGGAGTGTAATATTACAGGTGATGCTCAGTGCATAATAAAACAGTTGCACAATTATTTTTCATATGGAATTGGAACATTTTATCATCAAGGATAAAAACAGTGGCATTAAATAGCCATTTAAAATAATAACTTGACCATACTAAAGATTCTTTCTCACAGCTAGGAGGTGAGACAGTAATTTGAAGAACAGAAACAAGAACAGTCACGAAAGAAAAACCACCTGTGTTGTACCTGCATCAGAGTATCTCCCAAGCAGCTGTGAAATGGCTTCTCTTCTCTATGCACTTGGAGTCAACCCACAGTGATCATCTGATCCAACTGCCTGACCACCTCAGGCACAATCACTGTGTGGTAACACTTTTCATGGGTCCTTGTGTTCTAGACATCCACCTACTTGCTGTCTTTGACATGGCGAAGTTTTACACTCTGTTATGGGTGATACAGCAGATCAAAAGTATTTTGTTCTCTGGAAGATGCTTTTGAGAGAAGACTTATAAATGGTTTTGATGTATGTCTATTGTAGAAGTTTTTTTTGCATTTATTTTTTTTCTGTTCTTCTACTGATCATTCTTTCTTTGATGAAATAAAGCGTTGTGTCCTTCATCTTGGTGTACACAGGCATTTCAGACCATGTAGAATGTGCACAAAATTTGACCAAGTACAAAATAAAATGACTCTTATAAAATTTTCAGAGGTCTCTTACCAGAGATAAGCTGCTGCTGTTAGACATCCTAACTGAAAGGACTCGATGTTAGAGGCACTAATTATGTTTGTATCTAGCTATGAAAATTCTTGGCATCAGACTTCATTAATATGCAAAAGGTGATAAAGGTATATGGATTTCCATTACATTCAGCACATTAAGGACTCAAATATATAACAGCTAAATTGAGGCATGCACAATAGTTTTTTCTTGTCTGGGTTGATGTCTAATTTGATCAGTTAAAGATAAGTAGTAATTTACTTGGTCCAGCCACATTCTCTATGCTCTTTTTATTGTCCAAGAAATATTGCTATGTACCAAATCCATAGTGGTTTTATTTATAAAGAGCTACCCAGTTTACTTTCAGCTACTTGGCTTTGCACTGTTACTTGTTGATTCCATAACTTTATATGCAAGACAGGTTTAATTAGGTATGTTTTTTTTTTTAAGTAATAAATAAGCAGCAAAATGGGTTCCTATAGAAACTAGCATTCTTGTTGAAAAAAAAGTCTGGAAGATTTTCCTTTTTACCTTAGCAATTCACCCACTTCCTTAGCCCAGTGAAATATTCAGCCCACAAGTGAAGTTGAGAATGAATGCGAGGCCTTGTTTATTTTAGTGAGCAACAAGTGACACAGTATTACAGATTGCAGTTTGTCCACTGTCAGTGCTGTGTTGTTTATTAGTTATTCCTCTTTTAAAATGGCTTGTAGTTGCATGAGGGTCAAGCTATAGCTAAACTCATAATTAACTTTAAATCGCTGGATAAATACAAGCTTACTCACTGAGTATATTACTGAGTAATACTCATTTAGCAAAAGTATATAATTATCTAAAAATGAATATCCACCAGAATGTTCTTTTCTTTTCCAGGTGGCTCTAGATTTGTGGGAAGATGTAAAGATTTGTAAAGAAGATCAGAAGGAGTGGCTTATTAAAAAAATAAACGAGTCCCAGTTTATCATCATTGTGTGTTCCAAGGGAATGAAATACTTCGTTGAAAAAAGGAACTGGAAACACAGAGGGGGGACCAAAGATGCAGGAAAAGGAGAACTCTTTCTGTTTGCTGTGTTGACTGTTGCAGAAAAGCTTCGTCAAGCGAAGCAGAATTCAGGTGACCTCTGCAAGTTCATTGCAGTCTACTTCGACTATTCCTGTGAAGGAGACATCCCCGCTATCCTGGATCTAAGTACAAAATACAAACTCATGGACAATCTCCCTCAGCTGTATTCACATTTACACTCCAGAGATCTTAGTGTGCAGGATTCAGAGGTGCTTCCTGTTAACATTAGTAAAAGGAATTATTTCAGGAGCAAATCTGGGAGGTCCCTTTATGTTGCTATTTGCAATATGCATCAGTTTATTGATCAGGAACCAGACTGGTTTGAGAAACAATTTATTCCCTTCCCTCCACCTTCTTTACATTACTCGGAACCTGTCATGGAGAAATTTGATTCGGGCTTAGTTTTAAATGACTTAGTGAATAAACAGGTGATGGATGGTGATTTTTACCTGAAAACAGATGTAAATCTTTTTTCAGCAGGGAATTCAGACTCTCACTGTGTAATTCAGCACTTAAACCTTGGAGAAGATACAGAACCTCAGGACATCCAAGGTGGTGCCAGCTCTGTTCTTCAGCCATTGTTACATATTAAAGCTTCAAATCTTAATGATATGCCTCGAGATTCTGGAATTTATGATTCGTCTGTTCCTTCATCTGAATTATCTTTACCTTTAATGGAAGGACTCTTGACAGATCAAACTGAAACATCTTCCATTACAGAAAGTGTTTCTTCATCATCAGGTTTAGGTAAGATACAGAAGTGTTTTAAAAATTATATTTCTGCCATCTCAAAATAATTAAGATAATATATGAGGAGCCATAGAGAAGGCTGCAGAGAAAGAGAAGCATTGTATAAGTATGGTACAAAAGGCGGGTTTCAGTAACTTTAGAGAAATGAATCTAACTTCTTTTGTGTGGGGGTACTCTTAGCTAAGTAAGATTTCACTAGAATTCTGTTAAGTAATTTCTCACTAGTTGACCTGTTATTGGAGAGGTGGCTACTTTCTCCCAGCAACTTCTTGGCAGCTGGGATACTCAACTGACAGCTGTGTGGTTTAATCAAGAGGGTGCTCTGGTGAAGCATTCTCACCCAATGGCCATAAATCTAAAACTGACATCCTATTTTGCTTCAGCATGTACTAGAACCTTTAGGAAGATAGTATGTACTGGGGTTAACTCAAGTTTCAGAGTGACATTGAGCTTCTCATCAGATATGGGGGTGGCGGGAATGAACAAAAAGTTTCAATGAGGGAATTTAAATATTTGAAGAACACTCTCCAAAATAGATGCCTAGCTTAGTCACTTACAGTTAGAATGTGTAAATATTGTCTCAAGCTATAAAAAAAGCTGATCTGACCTTGCCAGTTCAATGCATTGTAACTAGTACCACAACTACATCAGTGTGGAATGTTCCAGCAGTTGTATTCATTCATAAAACTGCTGTTAGCTGAGACTTCTCTTATGCAGCTACCACAGGTGAATATTGCATTTTAGTGGTGGTATGCTGTTCTGTTTTCTTGAATGAACATAACATTGACAGTGAGCTAATTTGTTAGACTTGTCTCTTGGCTAAAGGGATTTTTCTTATTATTCAAATAATTAGTAACTAGTGTTTGATGCCAGATTTATCTTGAGAGAATGTTGACATTGATTTACAGATATAGTATTTATATATATAGGCTAGGTAGTCTATAGAACAAAATAACTAAATCGTGAAGAAATACAGATTTGGGGATGTAATTGCATAAGCCACAAATATTCTGTTATTGTTTCAAAATTATTATTATTATATTCTTTAATTTCCTGCTGTCGTCTAGTACATCCTTCTCTCACATTTGAGGGAAGATCTACAGACGATATCTGTAAAGGTTCTAGTGTTGGATGAAAGTAGGAAGCTAGTTAAAAACTCGTGGTCTTTCTGTAAGAATGTGTTACCAGGATTCCCCTCCTGATTCAGTTACAGAGCTGTCAGCTGGGTGTCCCAGCTGCCAAGGAGTCACTGGAAGAAAGAGGCAGTCTTTCCAGTAATTAATTCTCAAGTCACATACCCAGTTGTTAACACGTTTCAGCTATAGAGGTCAAACATCAGAGCCCTAGCTGGTAGAACTGGATCTTAACACTCATGTTCCAACACCTGAAGAAACCACAACAGCTTTTGCCGTTTTCCTATTCACTGTCCCTGTCCAAAAGCACCACCCTGACCAACTCTCATTCTCACTCAAAGCAGAGTCTTAATTAGGTACAAGGTACAAAGGAGACAGTTTCTAGAACTGAGCATCATCTGAATATTAGAGTGTAACCCATTAAATCTTTTTCCTGTCCCAGACTTAAAAAAATATTTGTAGCCCTAATATTTATACGCCTCATAATGAGAGGAGCAGGTAGAATTTTCTACCTTTTATCCTTGTTCTAAGAGTTGGACATGTCCAAATTATTACTCTGAATTCACAGTACCTTTTCTTTTTTGGCTACGTGTTCTTTATCCATTACTTGGTCAGAACAGAAGTGAAATAGCCTTGTCATTTAGCATCTCAAGGTAGATACTTCCTTTCTTCTTTAAAGTACAGTTTGATTGAATCTTTTGAATTAAAATTAAGTCACATAATTTGTAATACTTTCTATCTTCCAGTGCTTTTCATGTGCAGACTACTGATCTGCAAAGAAAAGTTTCAAAGAGATCATGTTGGGCAACATCAACTAAAGTTGAAACCCATTTAATTTTGAGGAAGTACCAACAACCAAACCATTACTAGGTCCATTTGTTAAAAAGATCTCCTGTAAGAAGCCCTGCTTGGGGAGAAAATCTGTACTAATTAATTCTTTAGCTAAGGAGTTACTGATCATGGTAGTTAAGACTCGTGAATGTATTGCATTAGGATCCAGAGGGTTTTCATAAGTCTTCTTTGTACTGTTTTCAAAATGTTGACCAAATACGAAATCAGCGTTTCAGTTTATGAACATCACGTACTTTCTTTTTACAGGGGAAGAAGAACCTCCTGTAATCACTGCTACAAAATTCCTAGTACCTGGAATATGTAAAGCAGAACTTCACTGCCATATCCATCCTGATGAACTGCAGGCAATCGCTCCTTTATAACACATTACAACATTTTTATGCATCGACACTTTATCAACAGCCTCGGTTTGTGCTTTAACTACCACACTCTCTCAGCACTAAATCTACTTGAAGGAACGTGTGCTCCCTGAAGATCTGTTATTCCTAAGGGATTTTTTTTTTTTTTATGGCCAGTAAACTTGAATCTGTTGCTCTTTATCTAAAGACTTTCATGATTTGAAAAATGCAACATGGAAGAATATATAAGAATAGATTTCAAAATCGTTCCTATTATTAATTTACATATCATGATATTACACTGTTTACAGAAGCCATAATCAAAATTGACCTCTTTTTGCTAGAAATAATCTTGCAACTGGACATAAAATAGCTTGGAACATGAAGTCTTAGTATATTTTGTAGTTCAGCCTCTAGTTTCAAGTGCTGAGATACTTGATGACAGGAGTGTTGTAGTGAATGAGAGCAGTTGTTTTTTTTTTCCAGAAGCAAGTTAAAATGCCAAAGGTGAGATCAAGAAATTCTGAATCAGAAGAAATAACTTTCTTTTAGAAATGTTTGAATTCCTTTCCTCATAGCCACTTTCCCAAATGTTGATGTGTCTAAGTATTTAATTTCAGCTAAGTATATATCTCCCTCTTCTGTATGTTTCTCCTACCTCTTCTCCACAATCTGGTTCGGCTCTGATGACTCACAAATAGTACCATCCTGAGTCTGAAGTATCATTTTTATATCAGACAAAAATATAGATCCCACATATGCTGAGTGATACCATGGAAACAAATTTTCCTGTGTTCTTCCTGAAAGGGCTAAGATAAAGAATAAAGAGATGGGGAAAGGGAGATGAAATTTTCTATTGAATACATTGCTCTGGAATTGTTCAGCCATGAGATGAGTATGCTTTATGGAGGATTTCATGTTGTCCTCAAGGACACACTGCTGCAAAATCACCTGGCGTAAAACAAGGCAAGCTGTTAGCAAGCATGTATACTTTGCTTTGAGTCGACCAGTAAACAGAAGCCTCTTGATTTATTTTGCAGATCACGCTATTTATTATTACTTAATGATTAGGTAGCATATATTATTAGTGTTACATTAAGAAGAAGTGCTAAAGCTACAACTGGGCATGTTTTTCTAAAGAAACAGAGCGTGCATGTCCTTTCTTCTGCAGTGACCAGATAGGTATACCATCATCCCAAATATCCCTGCTGTTTCCAAAGAGCAGCTTTTCAGAAGTAAAACCCATCTATGCAACTGCAGTTCTAAGCACTGTTATAATAAGTGTGTCAACAGCAGATAGTGGAGCACGCCTTATAGATCCGCCTTTGCTAATGTTGCCCGTGGAGTCAGATTTGGTCTTGTTTAACCTGTCTTCGCATTCCAATAACAGGAGGATACTTCAGAAACGTATCAAGGGAGAAACCTCAAACACTTCAAATGTTCTCTGTTTTGATAGTTGTGAATTAGACATTGCTGACTGTTCATTGTATTATCCATTTTAATAGCACGAAATAGAACTGTTAAACTGGTGATAATTTTGGCTGAGCAGCTTTAAAGCTCCTGGGTTGTTTCTTTTTGTTTGGGTTTTGGTTTTTTGTTTGTTTGTTTGGATGTTTTTGTGTGTGTGTCAGTTTATATTTAATCCTGTGAATTTCCAAACAAAAGGCCCTTGAAATTGTTGTCAGAAATGGAGTAAGAAAGTGCTGTAACAGTTACATGAACTGAACCATCAATGGCAGAACTCCACCATGCTTTGCAATTGTAATGTGGAGTTCTGTACATTTGTCAGATTTGGAGGGCCTTGTCCATTAATGTAAAGTTTTTTACTCTTCCTGTTTTCTTCATTTGAAAGAACACTGACCTGAAAACCTCAAACTTGCAATACCTAAGTAAGTTTTAGGTAGTTTTAAGTACATAGTGAATCATCTGCTTGCAAAATTCTTAATGTTTTCCATTTCTTTGAAGTTGGAAAATATCTAGGTCAAACTATAGGCAGAATAATCTAGAGATAAATGGTCTAAATCCAGCTGTGAAGGACATTGATTCAGTTCAGTCCTTGCTATTTTACTAGAGAAAGAGTTTGGATTGATAAGACACAGAAAGGCTACAAGACTTGTTAGCCAAAGAGCTGCTGTGCATAGAAATGCCAAAGCTGCAGAACATGAGGAGGAGGCAATTTCTTACCCGTTAGCTTATGAGGGTAACGCAGCTTTCCTCCATGGGAAGTCCCATCTCACATACTGTTATTTTATGCTAGATTAAAGATTGGTAAAATTTCCTGGATCTGTTAAATTCAGTAGCAGAATTGGTATTTCTTAGTAGAAGTAGGGTTTTATTTTGAGCTCTAAGAGAGCTAGTTTTTTGAAATCAGACAAAAGTAGTTGCACAAAGAATCAGTTGTCATTATTTCTTTGTTTTATTTCTTCTAAGTTTGCTATACAATCCTGCAGATCTTTCTTTTTTAATTATAAAAGGTCTATGCAGATGCCAGTCACATCTCTTGGGAGGATAAAGGGGGCAGAAAAGAATCCCTTCTTAGCATAAGGTGGGAGCAACATATTGTATGTCCTCAGAAGAAAGGGAATATATGTAATTGAAAGTTTAGAGTAGGACAAGCCTGCACTTAAAATATACAAAATTGAGAAAAGTAATACTTAATCTGAATTAGCATATTTTTTTTCCAAAGTCATAGCGCTTTAAAAATTGGAGAAATGCTGTGTATATTGAGATGCTGGGAGGACATAGTACTGAATTTGCAAGAATTCTGATTCTTCTCTCCAACAAGAATAACAGTAAAAATCCCAAGGGGAAAAAAAAAAACCCTGAACAAATATGTTAATACACATATTGGAGGTTAGCTTACTACTATTTTCAAACGTTAGTAAACTTACCAGAATGTTAATGGTGAAAGGATCCCTTTACTATCTACTAGACTCAAGTGTGTGGACATTGTTTGGATGTTTTAAAATATGCTTTCTGAGAGGGTGGAAAAAACCATTGGGCAACTGAAGGTTAAAGATATGGCAGTGTGTTCAGCATTGTGAATGATAAGTGTAGTTTGTGCCATACTTTGTACCTGTACATAAATACATCAACTGCTGAAAATAGAATACAGCTGACATTTGCAGCAATAAAATTTTTATGATACTATAATTTAGAAGCTAAATATAAAAATAAAACATTTTTGCTCAATTTCTTTCATTGTGCTTTTCTTAGTTTATAAGATGATTTGTCTTAAGAATCCCAGTTGTTTTATCCAAAACACTTCTCATGCAGTTATGCACAGCAAATAACCAGCCTCTCACTGCTGTTCATACTCTACATCTGGAAGCGAAACAGATATTTTAATGGGTGTTTAATATAGCCAAGCAACTGTAAGAAAATTTTAACTTCCTAAAACTTCTGTATTGGACAGACTGGGTCTAATTTTTTTTTTTTTTAAATAAAACTGCCTCAATATGTTTTTATGTAATTATTTTTCCTATATACTCCTTGAAGGTCTCCCAGCAGTACATGGTTCTGTATGTCAAGTGAAATCTATGCACAGTAACTATGAAACTATAATAACCTGGACTGGATTAATTTTGTCAAAGAAGATGTGATAATTACCTGAGTTTTAGGTGCTTTTTGTTTTCACTCAAGTGGATTTCAAAGCATTGTTCCAGTCAATGAACCCTGCAGTCGATAATTTCAGGGCTAAGCCTTGAAACCAGTTATATTCCTTGTGTTGCTCAGGTAAATGGAAGTTTTTCGAATGGACTTTTGATCTGGCACAATCAAACTTAGAATGCTATAGAAAATCTGTAATGAATCTATATAGCTTACTGTTGAAGACTTTGAACAATTTACTTAATATAAGATAGTTTTCATACACATTAGCTATGTTGAATTTACAGGGTGTTTAAAATGTTTATACCTGTTGTCTTTTTTGAGCCTCTATCCCACAATTCCTAATTCTGCTTCTATTACCAGGTAAATCAGAGGCATTCTGAAGGGTTCCTAAGCATGAGAGCAGTTGTATTAGTAGTTCAAAAAGGAATTGTATAAGTTACTTCTCTGTATCTGAACTGGATTTCTTGGAGATGTGTTATCCATAGGTATATTCTGCAGTCCTAATATATGTATCCTCTGCCTTGGAGCCCTGTACTCAAAGGGACCTTGTGGTAGAGAGAAAATGGAAAGAAGGTGTTCCTCTAGTTTTTTAATACCTTCAGTTTAAAACATGAGAACCCTTAGGATGTTTTCCCGATGTTTGGGAAGTGTGAGCCAAAATTATTCCACCATGGGGATATGGAAAGATATGCTTTGCTGTGAGGATATGCGTACGGGTAATACATCTCAAAAAACTTAAGGAAGCTCTCATTTTTGTTTTTTTATCTTGCAGTTAAATATTGTGGTGACTTGATACAGAAATACCCCCCCAAACCAAACAAACAAAAAACCCCCCCCAACAACAAACACCTCTTAAGTTACAGCAAAAAGTGTGTACTGCACACAGCATGTGCATTTGAACTATAACTGGTCAGACCCAAATTACTTATAAAAGGTCAGATGTTAAAGGCTGTGCTATAGATCAGCTGAAGGAATTTTTCTCTGTATCTGCTATAAATTATTTTACTTCCTATCATTCATTGCTGTTTCTCAGGCTCAGACATAGAAAACAGAACAATAGTCAATTTATATTTTTTTATAGCTGCATACAGTTTCATTCTTAATTGTCTTGGAACTGATTTCATAAAGTCTGATTTACCAATCATGTTCATTTTTCTGGGCAGCTGCACTGTTGACAATGATTTAATATTTATAGCAGTCCATGGAAAATGTAGAGATGGTTGTCTTGTTCACAAAAAGCAGAGGAAAAGGTAGTGTTCTTTCCTTGGTAACAGATGTCACCTCAATGACTGGAAATTGAAGTGCTTGCCCATACCTACCTCAATGCAAAAAGCTCAGTTCTTAGTCATTTTGGTGATTTTACTCTGATGCAGATAGTTTGGGAAGGCTGGGAGTTTGCAAACATGAATGTGAAATATGAAAGATGCTGGGGGGGAAGTTTAGTTTTATGTAATTAGATAAAATACTTTAAAATAAACTATTATGAGACATAATGGAAAACATCAGTGCAAGAAGAAAATAACATCTGGAGAGAATTGTCTTCATCAATTAATAAAAAGACTATTTTTAATGGATAAGGAGCTGTAATGTTCAAGGCTGATTTACCTCAGAAATCAAACTACCTTTTTTTCCAGACTGTTGGTAGGTTCACAGGCCTTGACAAGAAATGGAAGATTGAACTGGAGTGAGTGAGTGTGTGAAGCACTGTCATGTTGGGCTGCTGATTTAGCTGGAA